AGTTTTCTTCCTTTTTATAGAAAAGTATAAGGATTAGAGTTGGCTTTTCTTTAAATGTTTTAAAATTCTCCAGTGCGGCCATCTGGTCTTCAGATTTCATAGCTGTTAATATATTAAAATTATCATTTCAAATTAAATCTCCTTACTAGTTTAATATTTTATGTACTATATTTTATATGTACATGTGTACACTTACACACACACACACACACACACACATATATATATGTGCATTTGTATGCATGTACATGTCATATATATGTATATGCACTTACACATATATACATATGTATTAATACATACATGTGTATAGGAAAATGTGTGCATGTGTAGTATATTAATAAACATATGTGTACATATATACATATATCATTGTACTTATATAGATCCACAACCATAGATCTTCATAGACATTGATTTCTTCATGATTTAGTCTTGGAAAAGTACACATATCCAAGAATTTACTTATTTTCCATCCAGGGCATATTATTTCTTGGCACAGAATCAATTGCTCACAGAAATTATGGTCTTCATTTCTTCTGTGGCCAGATTAAACATTTCCTCCTTAATTTCTGAATTTTATTGTTAGAGACCTTTCTTATTAAAAAATATATCCAGTTAAGAGCTTGTAAGCTCTGTTGGTATTACAGAATGCATCTCTTAGTTTTGTAGACTTTTATTTTCAGTTTTATTTCCTACTTTGACATTTCTTTTAATTCCTCCAGGTATAAATTTGTGTGTGTGTGTGTGTGTGTGTGTGTGTGTGTGTGTGTGTGTGTGTGTTTATTTTGAGGTATTCCTTCTTTTATGTTTCCCATTCTAGATTAACCCCTTAATACTCATCTCACTGTATCTCATAGGTTTGGTGTATCTTTTATTTTTATTCTCCTTAAAGATTTTTTCTAGTCTCTCTTGGGATTTTGTCCTTAACTCACTAGTTGTTTGAGTGCTTGTTAATTTTTGACATATTTGCAAAATGTCTTGTTTTGCACTTGATTTTCAGTTTCCTGTTGATATGATTTCAATCCTTTCCATTTTATTAAGACCAGTTATGTGCATCATGGAATTGCTCAGTGAGCATTCAGAAATATCTGTGATCTTCCAGAGTTGCATTGAGTGTTCTATTTCTGTTAGGAACAGTTGGACTTCAATATTGTTCATTGTTCGTGTCTTATTGTTCCTTTTTATGATTATTTGGCCATAACTGGAGTGCAATATGAAAGTTCAGATTATTGACTCACTGTCTATTTCTCCCTTTAATTCTCAGTATTTGCATTCTGTATTTGCATCCACTAGTCAGGAGCATATTCATTTAATTTATACATCTTACTGGTTAATCAACTCTTTTGTCCCAGTTAATGTTCTTCTTTCTCCTATGACACTTTTCAACCTTATATCTACTTGTTCTGGCATTAATATAGCCAAGATGGCATTCTTTTGGTTACCATTTGGAATTTTTTTATATCCTTTTATTTTCAACATATGTTTATCATATGAAAATGCCTTTTATATACATCTGCACTGCAGTTTAATCACACTTTTGCTGTCTTTAGGAATAAGTTGACTCTCCTTTGAATGAACACCAGTGCAATTCTCAAGGACGGGGAAGAACTTTATTACTTTAGTCATGAAATCCATTTGGCTGTAAGATATGCTTTCTTAGCAATGTATACCACTGTGCAAACAGCCAGGAAGCATTAGGAGATCACAAAACCTGACGTGGCACATCGGGAGCCAGCTAGTCACTTATGCAAATTATAATAAATTGATGGAATAAATTAAAGCCAACTTTGTGCGATATATACATTTTTAAAAAGGAGCCACTGCATAATATAATTTTGTCCCTTTATTGGGCAATTTACTAAGATATTGACATTACAGTTTAAATCAAGTTAATAAAAACTTTGCTTTCTTTTGAAGTGCTATCCCACAAAACACTCAAACATGCTTTGAGCATGGAAATCTGCCATATGTAATAAAAACAAAAATATGTAAATGTTAGTAGTCATCCTTGAGCTCCCTGGACTTCAGACTTATGGAAGGAAGCATGTAGGTCTGCTGGATGCCATTGTAAACCTCCATGCATGCTCCTGTGTGCTGTGCAAAACTAAGGGATAGACACATAAGTGAGACAGTTATACCCTAAAATATAACTTGACACACACAACTTTTCAAATACATTCCAAATACACTATTATGACTATAATAGCTACACTTCATCAAAGCTGTAACACACATACCCTCTTTTAGGGCCCTGCCAGGGGACCGTCCCCCAAGTAACTAAGCCTGACTCAGCCAATGCTCTGTACAGAGAATTCATCTTTGCTTTATTTGCCATTGATCATCATCCACATTCTGAAACACAAAGAGAACTCATGAGCACCTTGCCAAAAATACCACATACCTAGATGGAATACTCATGTTTCAGTAGCTTAGTCACTGCCATAGATTGAAAAGGATGTGAATAAAATCCCTATTGAAAAAACCCACCTAACATAAATTTAATGATCATGCATTGTGTTTTATTAGTAATGGGAAGAATTCTTCTAAGCAGAACAGGAGTAAAGGAATTTGGTGACTCCATCAGTATTTTATTTCCAAAAAAACCAAATAAGAATTCATACACATTCAGGCTAACCTGGGAATGAACTTACATCTTCAAGGTCAGGCCTGTGGGAATCACACAACATTGTTTTCTCTACTGAAACACTCGCTTCTCCAGAATCCATACTAATGTGATCGTTCACCTGATGCTCTTCCAGATTTTTTTTTCTCATTAATTCTTGCCAGAACCCATTATAACTTCTACCCATAAAGAAGCAGTAAATTGACAAAGGGAGCTCTTGACTTTTATCGCTTGGTCTTATAGCCTTCCTAGTACAGTTTGCCTTTAATTGATAAGTTAAATGAAATGGGATAATTAACCAGATCCTCCGGTTTGCAATCCCTTTTCCCAACAGGGAAATAAAATACACTAATGCTACATTTTTGGGTTTTTTCTTCTTCCCACTCTATTTTCTACCACAATGGGTACCTTCTTGAATGTTTAAGAATATTTAAGAATTCATTATTTGACAGTACTAAACTTATGAGAAATGAGTTAAAATAGGATCTCAAACAAAGTATGTTTCTTGTCCCTCTGCTATAGAACACTCTAACATTCATTTGTGGTGAGATTGTGCATCAAATAGCATCCTAGAAGAGAAACATTGTCACAAATAGAGGAGGATCTGATTTTTTTTTGTTTTTTTAACCTTATCACAGTTCTAGAACTCCAACAATCTGCCATGTCAGAGAACAGAATAGCTCATATGTTTAAAAACATGATCAAGCAGTTCCCAGAGATTTACCCAAGACCATAAAAATAGGTATCCACATAATGTATATACCACGATTATTCCTAATAGCCACCCGTGAATACATATAAAGCTAAATTACCAGAAATGATTCAAGTTAGCTTATTGAATGGGTAAATCAATAAATTATCGTATAGCTGACCTGTGACCTGGATTTCAAAAATATACTGTGAACTGAGTCAAACACAAAAGTCTATATGGTATAGTGTTTAAAATGTTAAATTTACGGTATTAGCACATTTGTGATTGTCTAATAGCACATCTGTGCTTGTCTAAGACCATGGAAAGCTGAGATCATCTGCAAAGGAGTTCAAGGAAATGGCTTAGTATCAGGGGAAATTTTCTAGTTTGATGGATGGTATTCCTTGTATAGAAGTATGCAGAAGCATGAAAGGATATAGTTAGGATTGGTGGATTTTAAATGTTGTCTTGGAAAACAAATACATTTTTAAAAATTATCACGTTTGATAATCATATAATAATTATATAAATTCTCTAAAATAGGATTTGCCTATTGAAAGAACAAATGATTTGTTTCAAACCATCAATGTGGCATAAATATACATATTTCTTCAAAATGTGAAAAACTATAGTCAATTTTTTAAACCCATAAATACTAGATCACCTATAACATGTATAGGTTTCATATAAAAATATCTATATAATTTTCTCTTTTTTAGTATTTCAAGACAGAGCTTGGCTGGGCAGTGGTGGTGCATGCCTTTAGTCCGAGCACATGGGAGGCAGAGGCAGGTGGATCTCTGTGAGTTCCAGACCACCCTGGTCTACAAGAGCTAGTTCCAGGATAGCCTCCAAAGCCACAGAGAAACAGAAACCCTGTCTCGAAAAACCAAAAAAAAAAAAAAGAAAAGAAAAAAAGAGCTTCTCTTTGTAGCTCTGGCTGGCCTCCGAACTCAGGGCGTCTGCCTGCCTCTGCCTCCCAAGTGTTGGATTAAAGGCATGCACCACCACTTCCCAGTTATTGATAATTTTCTACTTATGTATATGATTAAATATAAAGTCTTTGTGAGTGTTACTTGGAAAGGTATTTTAGAAGAGGGATGTTTCTCAGATTGAGAAAATTGTATTAAATTTCTGCAAGCATTCACCTGATATCACAATACAGTTTTCCATCTCCATGCATTTGAGGGAAGAAAGGAAGGAAGGAAAAAGGGAATGAAGGAAAGGAAAAAAGAAAAGAAAAAAATAGAAGAAAAGAAAAGAAAATCCATGGCAGCACTTGATGAGAATAATATTTGGTTTCCTGGAGAATAAGGCTGTGAGGTCTCCTTGAGATAAATGAGTTATACTCATTCATAGGTTGCCTGATAGTTCCAATTCTTAGTTTATTCTTCTTGAAAGTGAATTGTATTTAAAGACTCAGAAGGGTTCCATTATTGTTGTTTCTTTCGTCTTTTCTACATATAAAATAATTAAATGCCTTCGGTTCTCCCCAGAATTTCTAGTCTCTGAGAGAGCTTGTCCCTAAGAGAACATTGGCTGCATCTTTCAGTGAATAATTTGCCTGTGTCTATGCTTTTACTGGGGATGCATTATTTAATGTCATCCCAACAGGTATGGAGGGGCATGAATCAAAGTTTCCATCAACCATTTCTCTTTTTAATCATTATTATTCTGTTTCAGAAATTATACTGTCGTTAATTCTAAAATCATCGTGGTCACAATCAGGCCTGAACCCAAAACAACTGACTCATTTTTGGAGATAGAGCTGGCTCACTTGGCAAATGTAAGTATCATGTCCTTGACATTGAGCTGCTTACAGAATTACCCTTGAATGGGGTTAATAACCATTATTTTAACCAATAAAACCAGAGCACATTTTCTGTCTTTCTATAATCACAAATCATTTTATTCATTATGAACATGTATAGAAGCAGACAACCATGAAATTCTATGCTTTCATTCATGATAAAACTGTCTCCAATTTATTCAAGGGGATAATTAGTAAATTGTTTCTTTATTGGTGCATGAATGTTTACTGAATTCGTGTTATGTCCTGGGAGTCAGAATGCAAATAAGAATCTATCTTACTATGTAGTGGGGAAAAGAAATATGGATTTAAAATTCATTTAGCAGTCAAAACTTTGGAGAACTCCAAGACGAGGAATTAACTTGCAGGATATTACGATGTTTCAGTACTGAAGGTAATAGGACTGGGGAGATGGCTTCATGTTTAAAAGTACTGGCTGCTCTCCTGAGGATTCAGGCTGAATTCCCAGCATCTGTAAGGCAGCTCACCATATAGAACTCAAATTTCAAGGGCTCTGGTGCCCTCTTCTGGTCACTTTGGCAACAAGGACTCCAAATGAAGTACAAATATACACACAGGCAAAACGCCCATAAACATGAAGTAATTTTTAAAATTGATCTAATATATATGGTGGCATGTCAAAGTGCTAATACTTTTACTTTTAATCTTTTCAGTCTTACCCTTACTTTTAATAAGGAACTGTTAAACTTGCCTGGGTGTTCTAGCAGTCTGAATTTTGAATGTTCATGCCAGAATGACTAGAGCCTTTCCTTAAATTAATCGAACTGCAGCTGAATCTTGCAACTGGGTCTTATTCAGTCTGTCATAAATGTAAAATTACTTCCTATCATTGCTGCATTTAATTAAATAATTAAATAGTTAATTGATTAGGGCAAGGAATGTGCTTCCTATTAAGAACCTCTTAATGCCATTTCCCCTCCTGTATTAAAAAAGCCCATCTCATATTTGCATGCTTTATTTATTTACTTTTTTTTACAATCCCTTGCAATGCTTCTATGAAGTCAACATTTGTATTAAAGACAACCAAAAGTGACTGAATTGTTTTCTCAAGTTCATGTGGTTAGTGATTAAGAGAATTTGCATCCACATCCTTTGGGCTACAAAACTCAGATGTTTCTGCTACTGTGGAATTTCTGATTTCTCCCAGAAATCAGCTTTAGCTTTGTAGAAAGAGATAATCATCTTCCCTGCGAACTACATTATCATAAGAGGCCGCAGGCTTCAAGGCTGTTTAATGAAACTGCAAATCTTTCTGTAATGGCTTTCCAACATTGTAATTAATATTTAAACTATTAAATCTTTTCTGCTTTTGATGACATGTGACCAAGTTATAGACTTTTTCTCAGTACCTACTTCTTCGTTGCTTTACTACACTGAAAAGTGGGGGAGACACATTAGCTTTTTTAATAATAAACTTACTTATTCATGTGTTCAAATTCCCTGAGATTTATCTTTTTTGTTTGTTGTTAGAGTTTTTCATAGACATGTCTTTGTAGTTGCAAGAAGTGAAGCAGTAAGAGATGTTATTTCCAGCACTATTCTTGGACTACCAAATAAGTATTACAGCATTAGAATATTTACCTGGCTTTATATGTAAAAGATATTCAAAGAAATGTATTTTGGTGAATAGAAAAGGATAATTTTAGTGAAACGCTCCTTATTGTTTACTTTTCTCAAATCTGTACAAATACTTCACAAAACAACTCCAGCAAGGAATAGTTTATTTGGCCTCCTGGTTTTAGAGGGTTTGGGTCACATTCGTGTGGCCCCCAGGAGTTTGGGCAGAATGTTGAGAGTCAGGGTGGAAGCTATTCTTCATTTCTTGGTGGGCAGCAATGGACAAGAGCTGGATGCCATCTGTCTATAACCTCCAAAGTCACTGCACCCATTGACCTACTTCTTCCTCCTAGGTCTCACCTCTTGAAGGGTCTACAGCCTCCCATTGGCTGCCTTAAGGATTGACACATGAGCTTGTGAGGGACATTTCGTGTTAAAACCACAACACACACTTGTAACTTTACTAAAGCTGTTTAAAATGAACTTGGTTATTATATGAGTCAAAATTTCCTGCAAATGTATATATTTGTCAGTGGGTATTTTAATAAAGTATACAAAAAGTCATTGTCTATGTATGAGAAACAGGGTAGAATGTAAACTATTTTTAATATGCACCAGCTAGACGGATAGTAGCATGAAAGTCAGAATAGAAGTATGATTTGATGATAATCATAAATCACTTAGGAACAATTCAATGGATTTTTAAAATATCTTATGTAATTGTATTGATCAGATTCCACCCCCAGATTGTTTTCCATTGCAAAATATCCATTTTGAAGGCAGTGTAAACAACTATATTAAATAACAAATGAGGTGAAGAGAGAATACGGAGCTGTAAAGATTATTAAACAAAAGTGGCATGATTTGATGTCCTTCTGACCTTCAGTTTTCATGAGTTCCTGTTTTCAAACATGACTCCAGCTAGCTTTTATGGTTGGGTACTTCTCTGCACAATTCTGTACTTCCTTTACTTGAATATGTATCAAGTTGTTTTTATAGTATTCATAGCCCTTTGGGCTCATTGTTTTGAATTTTTAACTCTTATTACATTTACATTTGTATTGTCATCAAAATTTGATTTTGAAAAATTATTTTTTCTTCACTGAAGAAAAAAGTATGTGGCTGATTTACTGAATATCTTGAAATTTATTGCCAGTCATATACTGGCAATAGTTTATTTCCATTAAACAGATAATAAGAAAGCCTTTGTTGAAACATTACAATCTCAGCTAGAATGCAAGAAAATGCATTTTAATGTGTACACTGAAGCAAAAATAATCTAAAGCTTCATTGTGTATACAGATATCTGCATATCCATTGATTTTATCTTTGCAATTGAATTATTTTGAATATAAAAGAATCTAGTGACAAATCTGTCTATATTGAACTCTTGTCTTATGTCTAAAGTATCTGCTGCTGCACTGCTCTGAGCTCAGCAAAGAATAACAACTTGAAAAATGGAACATGCTTCATGTGTCATGTGAATAAAACAGAAAGATGGGAGTTAAAAGTTATAGTGAGTCTAGGGAAAAGCCTATTAACATTTTGTAAATGAAATCTGTCCTTTAAAAAAGCTTTTTCACAAATAGCATTTATAGTGTGTTAAATGTAATAAGGCCTTTGGGAACCCCCAGGAATAGGAAATAGAATATGGAACCGTGCCATTCCAAATGATATTTAGCAAAGTCAATTGCCATTCTAACTAACACAGTCATTAATCAGCAGTGCTCCATTCTCCGTTCACTTTCTCAGTGATGGAGCTTCTTTCTCATGAGCTACAAAGTAATTTTCTGATGCTTAAAGTTTACACATTGCAATTACTTGCTTCAATGTTACTTTCCCTAGAAAACAAAATTTGGATTATCTATCACTGTTGTCATTAAGAATTTTTACATATACAATTTTTGGATTCTCTGGGATATATGTGAAGTTAATAATTTTACTGAAAAATAGTTACTGAGATTTAAATAAGGACAGCAGCATGCGTCTATGTATACACACAAATACACACACACACACACACACACACACACACACACACTCAGAGTCTTCTGAGGATGGTAATCTAGACCTACTGTGTCTTTCCAAGGTAGATTGCATCCTTGTGTTTGAAGATGAGTTAGAAGATTAGAAAATAAATACATTGTAGCTATTCCATGAGTATTAACTTTGCAAGTCTGAAAATTTGCTGTTTTCCCAAATAAAATGTAGCTATGTAGTTCTTTCTGTTAAGGTGGAAATATGGTCTGAATCCTACTGGTTTGCAAACTAATCTTAAAAAGGCAAACAAACAAAAATCAATATTGTAGGTAGAGTCCTGCTGCTTCTTCCTATCAGTGCTCACAAGTGGACTATCAGAATTTTTGTAGTTCCCAAAGTAGATGTTTATGAAAAGTTTATGAAAAGGAACTTGGGTTTGTGTGTTTTACTTCTTTTGCCATATTCTTATATGAAAACACACCAAGCTTACAAATGATAAAATTTGATAGATGTGTATGAATGAAAACTGATTACAAACTATATCATTTGTAAATCATGGTGGAAATGTTCAGTGGTTTTTGCCACAGATAAGCATGAGAAACAATAAACTTAAATCCATGCATGAAACAGTACTTTCATGATTATCAAAGTTGATAAAGTATTGAAAATCATTTCCCAAAGCTGTAGAAATTGCAATCTATGAATCCGTGATTTTCATAAGCATCACTTTTCTATTGTTTTTCCATCCTAACTTTTGTCTATTTGGAAGCAATTTCTGATATTTTGCCTGGTTAAAGCTCTTGGTGATTATTTTGTTGGAAAATCTTGAAATGCTAACTAGACAAGAAGATAGATGCTCTGCCAATAGCTAAAAGCAAAATGAAAATTGTTCTCTAGTTAATTTTATGGGTTTATTTTTTATCCATGTCTATTTGATATTTTCCAAAAAAGTATTGTAGAATAATTGCCCTACTCTTACAGCAAGGATCAGCAATTTTTCAGTGAAGAGGCAGGTAGTAAATATTTCATACGTGAACACCTAATTATTTTTGTCACATGTACTCAACTATGCCAGCATATTTTGAAATCAGCCACAGAAAATATATAAATAGGTATTTATATATACATATATAAATAAAATATATAAATAGATATGCGCCTATCCTGATAAATTTTTATTATAAAAATAGCTAGTAGACCAGATTGAGCTTCTGTGTGGGAAGCAGAATAAAGGACCTTTCAAAATTCCCAGCTCCTTCTCTCCTAGAGCCTGTGAATGTGCTATATTACATGTCAAATATCTTAGTTAGATATGTACAGGCATAGTATGTGTACATTCAAAGTGAATGCTTCAAAATGATTGAAAGTAGAGAATTAAGATTGGGGAATTATCCCAGATCATCTGAATAGGTGGAATT